CTTAAAATTTTTTTTTTTTTTTTTTTTTTAAAAAAAGATGACCGGTAAGGGGGTGGAAAGTTGCTTAACACGAGCTGTGTTGATGTTAAGCCCGCCATGAGGTCTAACAGTATATAGAAAATTCTAAGAAATCCACTAAGAAAACTATTAGAACTAATAATAAAATTCAGCAAGGTGGTAAGATAGAAAATCAATATAAAATCAAATTTTTTTTTATTTTTTTTTTTATTTATTTTTTTTAAAAGATGACCGGTAAGGGGATCTTAACCCTTGACTTGGTGTTGTCAGCACCACGCTCAGCCAGTGAGCGAACCGGCCATCCCTATGTGGGATCCGAACCCGGGGCCTTGGTGTTATCAGCACCGCACTCTCCCGAGTGAGCCACGGGCCGGCCCATAAAAATTTTTTTTTGGTGGCTGGCCAGTATGGGGATCCGAACCCTTGACCTTGCTGTTAAAACACCGCACTCTAATCAACTCTACTCTTCTGACTTTGAAGAGTAGTTAATGATAAAGGAAGATGCTTACTATCTAACTTTGAATGAAGACAATGTGGATATGTACATAGTATCATTTTAATGATGTAAAAATTATATGCATAGAAAATCCTGGAAAGAAAAACATCAGAATGTTAACAGGGTTTCTAGGAGGTGGGATTATTTGTGATTTTATTTATTTATTTATTTATTTTATTATTATTTTTTCTAAAAGATAACCGGTAAGGGGATCTTAACCCTCGGCACAGTGTGGGCAGCACCGCACTCAGCCAGTGAGTGAACCGGCCATCCCTATATAGGGATCCGAACCCGTGGCCTTGGTTTTATCAGCACCACGCTCTCCTGAGTGAGCCACGGCCGGCCCTTGATTTTAATTATACATTGTGTTGTGTGAATTGAGTTTTTATCATTTTTGAATAAGAGAGAACCTGAAAGGTAAAGAGTTTTGAAAACATGGACGTCCAAAGGGGGAGGAAAAGAAAAGCAGTGCGATGTTGTACTGAATGGGTGTGGGGAGTGGTGTTAGGGAGCCATCTGTGAAGTTCTTTCTAGCTTCACATTACTCAGAGGAAGAGGTGAGCTTAGGGACCCATCAGAAATGAACAAAATGAGTGTCAGTCTAACTCCCGTCTCCTCTTTATCCCTTGTCCAGCTCTTAGAACAAGCCCTGGTGATTGAGGAACAGCTGCGCAGGGCGGCTTACCTGAACATGTCAGAGGACCCTTCTCACCCTTCCATGGCCCTGAACACCCGCTTTGCTGAGGTGGAGTGTTTGGCGGAAAGTCATCAGCACCTGTCCAAGGAGTCGATGGCAGGAAACAAGCCAGCCAATGCAGTCCTGCACAAAGGTAGCCAGTGGCTCCCCTGCCTCCTGCTGAATCAGCCTCGTCCCTCCTCTAACCCCTCCCCAGCATACATAGACTTCTTGTTTCCAAACCTTTTTCAGAAACCCTTCGGGAGCTAGGGTGTGCCATCCTCCTTGGGAAGCTAATATCTTGGAGACAATCAAGGACAGTAGTTCCTTGTTTCTTTTAACCCTTAATATATTCAGGTTCTTGAGATGGAAAGCAAAGCAGAATAATGTAGTGCCATCTGGGATACTTTAGAGGTAACTTTCAGGTGATTTAAGATCTCTTTAAATTCTAGGCCCCTTTCAACATTTTCTTTCTTTCTTTCTTTTTTTTTTAAAAAAGATGACCCGTAATGGGATCTTAACCCTCGGCTTGGTGTTGTCAGCACCACGCTCACCCAGTGAGTGAACTGGCCGTCCCTATATAGGGATCCGAACCCGTGGCCTTGGTGTTATCAGCACCGCACTCTCCCGAGTGAGCCATGGGCTGGCCCTCAACATTTTGTTTCTAATTAAAGTAAAACATTATGAGGAGGTGGAGAGTGAAATGAGGAAAAGAAGGCTGTTATAAAGGAAGTGGGAGAAAGATCCAGGAGGTAGAGAGGTAAGATAGGAATGAGAAAAGGAAACGATAGGAATAAGCTGCTCTCAAGAAGTGGAGGAAGTGCAGATAATAGAGAGCAAGGGATAAAGAGGGTTAGGTAACTTAAGAGCATAGAATCCTGGACAGATGGAACTGGAATATGAGGAGTAGGAATTTGAGCATGGTGGAGGCCAGGTCAGGTGACTTAGTGACAAAAGACAATAACACATCACAGTCACTTGGTCATTGAGAAGTGATTGTGGGAGTGGGAGGCTGGTCCGCTAGGACAGAAGGATCTCAGTCTTGACCACCACAGCTCACCACCTCTTTTTTTTCCCTATGCAGTTCTGAAACAGTTGGAAGAACTTTTGAGTGACATGAAAGCTGATGTGACTCGACTCCCAGCTACCATTGCCCGAATTCCTCCGGTTGCTGTGAGGTTACAGATGTCAGAGCGTAACATTCTCAGCCGCCTGGCAAATAGGGCACCCGAACCCCCTCCACAACAGGTAGGACCATTTTCTTCTTCTTGCCAGCTCTTCCTGTAGAACCGTTCTGGAACTAGTAACCTTGCTCTATGTCCCTAGCTTTACATACTGGGCAGGTGGGTTACCAGTCAGTTCCCTTGAGATTGGGTGGATTCCTGTGGACAAGAATTCAGACTTCCTTGGTTCTCTTTCCCTATAGGTAGCCCAGCAGCAGTGACGATCCAGATTGATGATACCACCTCCACCGCTGAGCAGTGACCTTCCTCACTTTCTCTTGTCCCAGCTTCTCCCCTGGGGGCCTGAGAGACCCTCGCCTTCCTTCTGCCCATCTTCCATATTGTAAAGGAACAGCCCCCATGTACTGGGGGAGGGAAGGGAGTGAGGGGCAGTGGTGCCCTTCCTGCTGGAGAGACTTGCAGCAGTAGCGCCGGCGCCATCTGCAGGGAGCTGGTGGGCTGGCCTTCTGGACCCTGGCTTCTCCCCACTGTAACGTCTGTTACACATAAACTGTTGTGGGTGCCTGCCAGGCTTGAAGAAAATGATCTCCATTTCTTCCTCCTTTTGGTTTTATTTTGTTGGTTTATTTTGTGTTTTCTATTCTCCTTTTATGGGGTATTCAGAGTGGGCCGGGCCCCTGGGCGAGACACAGCTACCTCTGTTGGCATCTTTTTAATACCAGGAACCCAGCGGCTCTAGCCACTGAGCGGCTAAAATGAAATAAAGTGGGAAAAAAAAAAGGAACCAAAAGTATAAAAAACCACAGCAAAATTTCTTGATGAAAATTGAAAATAAAAGTTTCCTTGTATTTTAGTGCTCTGGCTCACTGTGGGTATAGGAACAGGTGGATGAGTGTATGGCAGGAGCCCCAGGAACTATGTAATCGAAAACTAAGGGCTACCTTGTGTCCTGATACTTCACTGAAGAACCGTGTTCTGTCTGTGCACCCACTCCCGACCAAGAAAGACCTCTGTCCCTGGAAGAAGAGAGGCTGCAAAACTGCACGCCCCTTACTGGCTCTGTGACCTTGAGCAAGTCATTCAACTTCTCCGGGCTGCAGATTTCTCTTGTATAAAATAAACATATCTACCTTATAGGGTTGTGACGATAAAACCAGTGAAGTTCTTGGAACAGTTTTCAACACCTAGTAAACACTGCCTTAGCGTTAATTCGGAGCAAGTCTGAGTAGGCTTTTCTTGCTGAGTTGTGCGAAACTGGGAATGCATGATGTCTTCCTCCCGATCTCCAGATGTGAACTTATGCAGAAGGGAAGCTTATCTGACCCAGGGGTCTGGCGACAACAAGGACGAGGGTTTTCAAGCCAAAGGGTTGGGAGTGGGAGGTAAGTGGCATGGAATTCCACGATCTCAAGGCTGGGCCTAGGGCACTGGCCGCCAGGCGCGAGGCCCCGCTGCTCTGTGCTGGTTCCAGCGAAGGGCCGGCTTTCCGCACCAGCTCTTCCCTTTGCAACCGGCCGTGAGGCTGACGGCCAGGGAAGGGCAGGCGCGCCGTCAGCGGTTCGGCGGCTGTGGGAGCAGCGCTCTCGGCGCGCCTTCCCGGGCGCGTGCACGCTGCGGGTCTGCGGCCGACCGGGCACGACCGGAAGGGGCGGGG